ACACAATTACACAATTAAAATCTTTTAGATAGACTTTTCCATGTAATATTGTTATATTCGAGACTATTTCTGATTAAAGACCTCAACACCGTATAAAGTTTTAGTAGCTGGGAAGTTGCAAAGGAGGAAAAAAGAAATTCCAAGCACAGTCAGATGGGATATTACATATCTGCTAAATGTCTACTTGACCACATAAACCTCCAATGACTTCCAATTTTCTCCATCGGAACAAACACATGTTCACTAGGCTAACTGAAAATAGAATCAGTGAAGGATGAGGAAGGAAAAGAAATGTTTCCATTTTCCCCATAATACAAGCAAGGTCATTCAGCCATTCCAAATTATACATCCTAATTGCTTTCAGAATATCAGGACTTCCATTGTATTCTGTTAATATAAAGCAGAAGAGAGAACTTCTCTTGATATAACTGCAACAAAGGCTTAAAAATAAGGCACTTTTCCACAGAATGAGGGGCAAACAAACAGTAAGGAAGCAAATAAAATTAGTTAAAAGTTGTCTCTACACAAAGATAAGGCGTTCAGTGTCAGAACTTTAAGTAGTTTTAAGTAACCTCATGTCATTCTACCACTCTGCTAATAGTAACCTCCCCAAGAATTAACAGCAATTTTTACAACAGGATTTTTCCTTCTTTTGAAGTGGCACTAMGTAACAGCAGTGGAAACAATTATTGGTTGTTTCAAGCTCTCAAAGTGGATCAGTTATTGCACAATAAATACCTCATAGAGGTCAGTGTTTTTGTTTGTTTTTTAAAAAGCTAGGCTGAATATTTGTGTGTTATTTATAAATTGTTTAAGTCTGGAAATCTTCAAGTTTCATGATACATCACTACAGAAATTAGCTACATAAAAATTTACAACAGGGACATACAAATAAATACAAAACCTTTTGGATAGCCACAGTTTTGCTGATGCTTTATGGAAAGTAATAAACTAGTTAAAGTGTCTAAGGCTTTATATATGAACTCAAGAGAAAGTATGCATCGGAGAACCAAGCGTTGACTACAGTAGCCTATCTCAGCAGCTTTAACATCTCCTGAAGCAAGAAGAGCTGGACACTTTCACCAGTGCATGCYGCCCAAAGCAGAATTCCACAGCATTTCGGACCACATCCAACCTTGCCGAAAAGAGAAAGCAAGATGAATATCRAGATTAGATTTCTGTAAGTCTGCTTGCTGTCAAATGCTTAACTAGATATTTTGCCAATATCCACATCTCTATCAGGCAAGCTACAGACATCTTCTAGCATGATCAATTCAGGCAGGGAATTATCATGGAGAATGTTGAAAATGAATCAAATACACTACACTAAAACTTGACAGTAGAAGGATCAAACTGTAAAACAGCTGATTTTCCAGAACTATCTAAACTATCCATGTTCTCTGTATTAAATGAAACTTCAGTTTTGACTGGTCACATTTGAGAGGAAAAGTAAGATCAAAACAAGACTTCAGCTACGATATTTCATTCAATAAAAACAGTAATGAAGAAAAGCCCAATTTGCTGAACCATTGAATTGTTCTATCAGACTCACAAGAATTACCTGTAGCACTGTTTCATGGCTGTGAATCTTGCTTTGCAGTTGCAGATCTGCTCGGAGACGATACAGCTGCTAACAACCCACTTACTATTTCCCGTCGTATTTCACCAACAATAGATTCCTTGATCTGAAAGGCATTAAACAGTTTTAAGGTCAATGAGTTATATAACCAAAAGGATAAAACTAAATTACCATTACAGACATGTTTGACATTAACAACATAAGAAAACATGCAACAGCAGAAAGTCAGCATTATAAAAATGCAAAAGGAAAAAATAAGAGAGATTCTCTGGGACAATAATTTTGAAATAATCCTGAAGTTCTTCAGATCTTACAGTTGCAGACTGAAGTAGCTTGATCTTTCCAGACCAAACTTCTACCTGTATTTTACACTTAGGATTACTAGCTTTATGTTTATATATATATATATATGTGTGTGTGTGTATATATATATATACACACACACACACACACACACACACACACACACAAAGCATATAAAGCTGTAAAAATAGTCCATCGGGAAATATGTACCAAAAGCACCACAAATGCACCATTTTGCATCATCAGCAGCAATCTCTCAAAAGGGAAGACAGGACCTATTTACTTCACAAATTCATTACGCATGAGGAAAGATCCAAGTCTCTGAACAGGAGCTGCTGTTTTCATATAAATCAAAAGGCAGCTAATCCTAATTACCTACTTTTGGCAGCAAAGACAACAAAGRACTTCCAACAATTGCTCACATCATCTGGCCACTGGGATATTATCTGTGGCAGCAAAGACTATTTTTCACATGATCATGACCAAGTATTTACCCACTAAGTTTTATATAAACAAGAAGAGGAGTCAGTACTAGTAGGCACCTAACTGTGACTAAGGGCTGAAGAAAGAAAGATCACTGAAGCCAATAGCAAAAGGAGAAAGCAAGAGAAGGTTGGGGAAAAAAAAAAGAAGTTCTTCAACAATATATTATGCTGGAGGAGGGGAGGAAGAGGTCAGAAGATCAGATGAGTAATACAAGATGCTCACAACCACAAGAAATCTTCAGTGCCCATTCATTTTTTGAATGGTCTTCACTTAGGCAACCATGAACAGGTCAGATACAGTTATAAGGACAGGAGAGAAGAGCCACGGTGAAAGAATGCAGGAAGGGAAGCTGGACAGCCAAGGTCAGTAGCAACAGCATTAATCATCCAGGTTAAAAATGACAAATAGATTCTTAGATTAAAACAAATAGCCAAAAACAAAACRAAAAACCCGACACTGTCCATAGTGTCAATCCACAAGTAGCTTTTCAGGTGGCAAGTAGCTGCAATGAACATGAAATCTGACACCATAAAAAAATGCTAATGCTGCTTTTCCAGTAATAAATCCCTTTTATGTTCCAATGCCCCATTAATACCACGGGAATAACATCGACTCAAATGGAGCCTTTCTGGAGACCCTGCCTCTCTCCGCGGCACTCCGGACATCTCACAATTATTCTTGTACGTCTTCCAGGAGGAGCTCCCCTCTTCCTGGTGCGTCAAGAGGATTAAGCAACAACGTCAGCAGGGCGGCAGCAGAATTAGCAAAGGGTTATTTATCCCCCTGTCCTCATTGGCAAGCAATTCAATCCCTAAACCATTAGTGGCAAAGTTCCTCATCTCGTTATTGCTGTGAAACAAGTAGTTCAGAGAAGGCAGCTGGACTGTTTGCTGATTAACAGACAAAAGAAAAGCCTGTGGGTAACAAAACCTGTTCTACTGACGGTCACAAATTCTAGGGATGCCCATGCAAATGCACACACACACATATGCAAAGCTTGGGGACCATTGTCAATTTAATGAGCACCTTTTGGATTTAGAAACACAGAAATATATCAGGAAATTCCAGGGGGTAGAGCAGCGAGAGCCAGCTTTGCGAGCACCGTCCCCCAGCTATCCGGCAGGTCACTGTCATCCTCCTCCCTTCACAAAGGTGCATTACAAAACGCACCCTGTGCCCTTCCCTAACAGCATAGCTACAAATAAGCACCACTTTCCAAGGCAAACCAATAAGAGCCTCCCGAATTAGCAGAGTAAATGGTCTAAGTCTTGTGACAAGGCCTGGACCAGAAGCGAAGCAGCTCCCATGCTGTTCAAGCCCTTCGCACTCGCCTCGCAAACCTGCCCCTATCCCCCGGCGAGGCCACTCTCCCTGTGGCCTCCAGCTCCCTGGCCTCCCTCGGCCTCCTCCAGGCCCCTCCTGYGCCGCGCGGGAGGCACCGATCCCCGCCTGACTCAGTCCCATCCGTGCGTGACAAGTGCCAATATTTGTCTTTCTGATTACGAACRATGTAGGACAAGGTGCAGCCTCCCTTCCCTCTGCACAGGGCACAGCCAGGATCCACCGGAGAYGCCAGCCAAGAGCCCCCGGGACTTCGAAGAGCTGAATGGAAATTCCGTCATTTCCAAGAGCAGGACCTGCTCACCTATGGTATGGATACCACATTAATGCAGTGCCACATACACAGGCAGTTTTACTGCGGTAAACCAGTACAGCACCATTACCACCATATGGTCCCACAGCTAAGTAACAAACTCCTTAATGTCCCACCCTGGCACTATGAGACATGGGCTCTTCACTTGGTGCTGGGATGGSCACAGAAGCCTTTGCACATTCCTCATACAACCTGAGGTATCTTTTGCACACGGAATTAAAGACTACCTGTTACCCCATTTTCTTCTTAGGCCATTTATTTGCAGCAGTAAATGGTGAGCTTTTATGCCCACACATTGTGTGCTAAGCCCACGGGCCTCTGCAAGGGAAACACGAACAACTTAGTATTTTTTGATCAATGCTGAACCAATATAGWTTTGAACTGGAAAGAGAAAAGGGGAGACTCTCTATCAAATCATCTATTAGTCCTATAAAGCCTCTTAAAATAGGTSCTGACAAGAAATCATATATTTCTTTAATATATAACCCTCTGGAGTGTCATTTACAGTGCAGAACCACCAGCCAAGACAAAACCCACACTACTGCTGAACAGAAAGCTTTTCCAACACAAGGGCCCAGTGAGGTGGCCAGCCTGGTTACGCTCCTTGCAATACTGGGAGCTACCAGCCAAGTAATAAGCATTTTGTGTGGGATTCCTGCGGGGGTCAGGCCACGTTTCCACCAAAATAAGAGGACCACTGTTTGGCTTTTAACATTTTGCATTGTTGTAGGCTTTTCTGGGGGAGTACATCCATTAACATCAAAAATTAGCATCGACATCTTTGGATTTTTTTTTTTGTAAGCCAGCAAACAGTCTCAGGTCAAAGCTCACAAACATTACAGCCCACCCAGGCACCCTCTCAAACAGTGCCCAGCTTCTCTTTCCTCAACACGAGGTCATGCAGCTACTGAGAACGGGAGGAATAAGCAAGGGTTTAGCACTTGTGCATGCCCATTGCAAGCGTGCATACTAACAGATTCCTTTCTTTGAACAAAACTGGAATTCCTTTGGTAACAATAGGGCTACTTAAAGAAGACACATTTCAAATTAYGGTATGCTTTAGCTCTTACGAGATACAAAAGATTTTCCTGTGCAGCATTTAACACCACATGCAGACTCTGCAAAAATCAACACATGCTTCAAGCCAATGCATCTTCACCCTGACATGCAAAACTCCCCATTTCAGAACTGAAGCCAGTCTGAAACTGGCTGCCAACAGAGCCAAAGCGGGAGACAGGTTCTCTGTGTACTCAAACATTTGTGAGGTGAGTCAGGCTCAGTCATTTCTTTGCTGACCCTTCACATTTGAACACCAGTTTCTTAGTTCAGCACAGATTCTTTTGGAGTTACTCAGCGCACTCAGCATCGTGCAACCCAAAGAATATGCTCCATGCAAAGAGAACACACCTTTATTTGCTACCAATTAATAATGTTGAAGAGCAACTTTCATATAGGAATCACCTCAGAAAAAAAATGTTGAAGTAATTCTGTACCTTGTTTTCAGGTCCCTTTATTGCCTCTGCTGCTGTTACATTTGAATTATAGCYCTCTCTATCTCTCTTGACAGCACCCCGCCACAAACCACTCCTCTGAAATGCAGGCTTTTATGGAAGAGCTGGGCATGATGCAAATGCAATATCCTGGTTTCACTTCAAAATCAACAGCAAAGTACAAGGAGTGAGAGATCTCAAGTGCAATGCTCTGAGCATCAGGCTACAAAGCTCTCAAAAATAAATAAATTGGGGGTGGGGGGAATGAAAAGAAAGCAAACAGATTGGAAACTGAAAGAATCTGGGATGTCTGGGCACATTTCATGACACCTCCCATTTCACAGCCCTTCTTAAGGCACCTTCCTACTCCAGCTACTTTGGGAAGATCAAGGATGGGATGTGGAGCAGACACGCGCCACCCTGCCCCATCCCTTCACTGGGATCCCAAGCAGAGGTGCAGCACCAGCAGCCACAGCATCTCCACCATGCACAGACAGGCACAGCAGCCTCGCAGACTCCAGGGTCACGCAGGGAGACAACAAAGCCTTACGACAAAAGCCACGAGTCCCTAATCCCCACTTCTGTACTCACGGCAGATAAACTACATTCTTGCATGGGCACTGCTTTGTCAGGACAATTCTTTTGCTTTTTTTTCCCCCCTCCCATTTACACTACTTATCATAGGCTCCTTTTTGTGCCATTTAAAAAAAAAATCCACACACAAACAAAACCTCCACGGTTTTAGTCCTGTTTTCTCACCTGGCCCCTGGGAGAAATGTCCAAGAAGCCTCTTTCAATTTCACTGGGAGCCAACAAAACTGGTCCAAAATCATCGGTCTTAATGTCCGAAATAACTGCTCATCTAACCTCGGTTTGCTTTAGTTACACTTAGAGTTGTTAGTGGTTTGGGAAGAATGACTAGTAAAGTATTTTTAATGTTTACTACAGAGTCGTTTTAGAAGTGATATTTCATCCAATATCATAACTCATATAATCAAATATCATAACTCCAGRATGTCACTTCTTCATGCAAACATCACAATTTTTCACTTAGGAAACTGAAATCCTACTAGTCAGCCAGTAGTCGAGATTGCAACTTCCTTCTCACCCAGAGACTTACAGAGTAACTAACTACTTATTTATGTGCTTACTACTATCCCTAAAAAAATGTCTATTGCTTTGCACACGAATATTACTGTGGTTTGGGCATCTAGTGACAGAAACACTGGGACTGCAAGCCATGAGCCTTTAAACAGAGACAGGAGAGAGCTTTGGCTTGAGAGGAAAGAGAGAAAAGTCCAGTGGCAAAGAGTTACAGAAAGGCTAACTTTAAACTTCGGTGAACACTGTTTGAACGTCTGAGATGTAGCTTCTCTCTCTCTCTCTCCTCACCTCTCGTATGACCTGCTGCAGCTCCTCCTGCTCCACACTCTTGTGGATTTCATCAACTGAAGGCACTAGCGGAACTTTTTCAAGTTTGCTGTGTTCCACCTCTGACTTGGAGTCCACCAGCTCCTCGGCGCTTTCTGCTTGCTGTCCAGCACCTGCTCTCACAGGGGGAGTYGGCGTTAAGGCAACTGAGGCTCGGTATAACTTCTTGCTTTGACTCTTAGGCTTTCCTGTTAGCTCAGAGGATCCACCACCAGCTTTCCTACTTGCATGACTCGAGCACACTGAAGAAGAATCAGAGTTTCCATGAGAGAACACAGACTCTGAACCCTCTGCTGGCAGAGTTTCCAGTCCAAGATCTCCCAGTCCTAAACCCAATTCAGACTTCAGAAATGACTGCTCTCGAATAAGTTCGGAGACCTAAGRATGCAGAAAAGGAAGAACTCTGAATAAGCAATAAGCATTGAAAACAAAACAAAAAACACCACATGCCGACACARCTATGTCTTATTATTTATTCCATCACTTACTCATTCTCTCCATGTAACAAATACAGATATAAAATAAATATATACTTTGCTTCATGACTGCAAAGAGGATCATAAAAAGCAATAGACTTTTTTGAAAGCCAAAACAAATAAGAACTGTGGCAGCTACCCAAGCCACTGGCTTTTGCAATACGGATGCATTCTGTCAGAACCATTGACAAGAGAAAAACGTAAAGGCTTGATTTGTTTCAGCAAAAGAAAAACAAATCAAGTCTGTTCGCTTTTTTTTTTCCCCTGCAATCTTTGAACTACTTGTCTTCAGCAGTTTGGGAATTTGGGGAATTTACACAGGACTCCTAGCATAATCCTCTCAAAAATAAGAGATGATTTTCCTAGCAGAACAGCTTCTACATATTCCTCTTAAAAACAAATTAGCTTTCACAGCCATCTTCACTTAGGTTATCTTTGCTTAAGAGGAAATGCAGCTATTCTCAAGAGAACTCAGGAACCTCACTAAGAATCCTCAGAACTGCTCAGAACCCAAACAAGCAAAGTATCTGCACGACTCTTGAAAGAATCTCTTACAACCATTCTCAAGAACGTCTTCCTACCCACGCCCCTTTAAAAAAGTGAAACATGCAGCTACTTACTGGTTCAATGACATTCAGTGGAGAAGGGCATGAAAGATTATCAGCACTTCTGCTACCATACATACCCTAAAAAAAAAAAAAATCAAGTTAAGGCATTTAGGTTTTTCTGTTCTCCACAGCTGTCAGAAGTTCATATTTAAACACATCATCTCACAGACAACTTGCTGTAACAGCAGAAACTTGGAACCAGGAAATAAAGCTGGTCACAGAAAGTCTATTTCAGTCATTTTTAAAGCTGGCCTTCTTCTATAAAAGGATTTACAAACATATTCATTACAAACATAAAGATGTTTAAAAGAATGCATGTTTGGCTTGGAATCCAAGTAATACCATACTTTCCTGTTTCTGAGTTTCATTTTTTTTCCCATGACAAAACACTGAAGAGGAAGATGTGGCCTGTGCTGCTTCTACAGAAGAGGACTGGCTTAGAAAGAGGAATAAGACCCACAAAGGACATATGACACTTTTTGCCTGTGCTGCTTTTGTTTGGGTGGCGGCAGAGCTGCGGCAGAAAAWCAGGAACAGTCTTTTGCTAAATGAAGAGAAGAAAAAGTCTCTTCCTCCTCTTCTTGGCTTCCATGGGAGTGACTTTGTGAGCAGAGCTTCTGCCCTTGCTTGGCAGGGAGCCACACAGCCATCCGAGCAGATGTGGAAGAGCAGAGGAAAAAACCTGAAGATGTACTGTGACCAGCAGACACAACATGACCTACCCTCCTTATGTTCCATAGAGGGGCAGAGCTGGAGGGGTAATACACCCCATCTCTCGGGACAGAAACACCACACATTCCTCATCTTTCTGCCTTTCTTTCACAAGGCAGGAGATCAGTATAGGTGAACACCAGACGGACTGCAAGAGATGTCTGAGATCCAAGATCTGGATTCCATTCCAGATTGAATGCTGCAGGAGCGATACCTACCATATGTGCCTGAGGTCTGTAAGGTGAAGACATGTGCAGACTCCTCAGCTGGTCTTCCAAAGCAAGCAGACGTTCTTCTAGCTGCATTTCTAGCTCCTGCAGCTCCATGCGGACAGACTTCCTCAAGCTCTGCAGCTGATCAGCTTCATATCTATACAAAATTCATTGCAAAAGAGGACAACAGCATTCAGTGCACTCAGCTGTGCTTGGAGGAAAACGGTCCCATGAATAAAGGGCTCCATACAAGAGAATTAAGACTGGAACACAGAAAATTCTTCTTTCACAGAAATCAGCAGAAAGCCCTACACAGAAAGGAGGTCTTCCTAAACTTAAGAGAAACACAGCATTGAGAAAACTACACAAGATGTTCCATAAATTTTGCCTTTAAACACTTAAATATATGCAAGCAGAAGAAAACAAATCCAATTAAAAACTTGCAACAACAATAATGACAGAGGAACACAGCAATCACATAATCCTTTGCTTGCATGGTCCTAATTGCCAAACCAGTAGCAACTACAATTTGGTAAAGATGCTCTTATCCAGAGAAGGTCAACTAATTTCTAATGTCTTTATTTTTAAAGCRAATTAGTTAAGAGCTGATTCAATGATGCATTGTAAATAAATAAGCAATTCTGAACATTGTTTAAGATAGTTGCATGAGACTCTTGCTGCAACTGGTGAACACAAACACTTAGAGCCAGAATAACAGATGCCATTTATAACTTGCTGAGTGGAATCTGTGGGTTGGAATAGCAACTGAATGCTCACTGTTCACTGAATCCAAGCTGTTCATTTTTTATAGAAATCTATTAAGATAGAGGAGGAAAAAAAAAAAAAGCCTGAACTCTTTAAGACATTTTTTAAACAGGCATTCCATGGTAAAAGTCAGTAAAACCAGTTAGGAAAAGAAAGAAAAGAAGAACAAAAATACTAATACGAAATACGGATTAAAACACAACAGAAGGGAATAAACTCCGGAATGATGAGTTGTAGAAAAGATAGTAAGCCAAATTTYTGGTAAAATTCATCTCCAGTCCTTTTACAACTGAAACTAACTGATTTTTCTACTATGATTTKAGCAGCACAGTACATTTCTTGCAGTGACTCTTTTTCAGAGGACCAGATTACCTTTCCTCTTCAGTCATGTGCTGATAGACTGTGGTCTGTTGACGTAACATGGTCAATTCCAAATCCATCATTTGGGTTCTGAATAAGTTCAGATTTCGCCTCACCACTTGTAGCTCCTGGAAAGTATTCTAAAAAAACAAAGATCCATCTTTAAAAATCCTTAATCAAAAAAATAATATAGATTCAGGTTCTGTAACTGCATTTGCACACACGTCCCCTCAGAGTCAAGCAGAACCTTCTGTTTACAAAGGCTGTGTGCCAGAAACTCACAACACTTAACAAAAACAATAAACAAAACTCATTCACTTTCATTTCATACTCATTCATTTCATTTTTAGACATACCATACAAACAGACACGTGAAGGCCAAAAAGAATGCATTTAAATGTGCAGAAAGAACTACAGTTAATTTCAGGATGAAGCCCTTTGTGGAGCTATATCTCTTTAGAGGGAAGTTTRGGAACGGCTCCAAGTCAGGGCAACCTGTAGGACATTCGAGATGCTTCGCTTTGACTCAGAAGCACTGTGTGAACAGGGTCACTTACTTCATACAGAGGTAGAATGGATGATCTCTGAGTAGTGTAACTGGTGGCCGCTGAAAGATCATGGCCTCTCATCACTGGGTACTAGGAAAGAAGGATCGTTTAAAATGAGAACACTGAACAACTCTTACACACTCATCTTCTCAAACGCTCATGCACTCCAATAGCAGACACTATTAAAACAACGTCCTTCTGGTACTGTGTTTTCCACTATCCATACAGCTGTTGGAACAGGAAAAGGAAACTCTGCAAAATGGCAATGCCAGCTCCAAACTGAGGCATATGCAAAGTTTTGCAATGCTAGCATGTTGAAGATGAAAAGCAAATTAAACCCATCTGACAGAGTAAGCAGGAATAACGCTTTTTKTGCTTCCTTGCTCCAGGCATTTAAGCCTGAGGATGCAGTAATCTCGACTGTCTGAGCTAATGACAAAAAGAAAATTGAGTTAAACAAGTTTAAGCGTCCCATTTTCAAATCACGATCAGAGTCATAKTCATTGTAAGGTTTTGCTCAGTTTTAAGGGTTCTTTTGTGGTTAGTGGTTTTATTTTATCTCAGTCTGCCTCCATCCAAAGATCTTTTCATGCTAACAATGTCCTAAGAAAACAAGATTGTTGAAGAATTTCTATTTGCATGTTGCATCAACTCATGGAGCAACCAGACAAAATTCAGGGGCTGTTACATGTAGAGACATGACAGAAAGAACAGTGGAAACAGCAAAAATATTTGCCTTTTCAATCATGAAAAAAGTTTGTCCAATATCATTTTGAAAGAATTCAAAGGACTACTGCCACGCCATGGAAAAACTGAAGCATATCCATTCAATCAGAGTTTTGCTCTAACATGATCACACCAAGGAGTTGTCTTGTTTTTCCTCTCCCAGTTTTCTCTGTTCCTTGATCTACCAGAAATTTATCTCCTCCTTTTGATTCCTTCCTAAAGCCAGGATTGCTTTTTGGGAACACTTCAACTATTTCTCTAACAGGCCGAGTATGTYGTGGGCCAAGCACAAGCTCAGTTGCAGAAACAGGGACAGCAGCAGCTAACAGTGTATTAAAAGGAAGGCATTTTCATATAAATYTATGTACTGAGAAGTGCCAAGCCCCCAAAATAGAACTAGTCTAGACAAATTACCCTTGAAGCAGGACAAAGGGGATATGAGCTGTCACTATCTCCATCAATACCATTTTATTAATTGAATTGGCACGAGCATGACATAATACAGAGGTTCTGCTTGCAGCGGGTTAGCTAGCACAGCCTAAGTGGTAAAAATACTGCAGCGCCCTATAATCTTACACACTAGGGAATTAAACAGAGGGGCAAATTCGGCAACCTCTTTCTCCAATGTAGACTGTCCTTTACCTTGCAGTGTGTCATGACACCAAAGCTAGCTCCAAGTCGCAAGGCCAGCTGATGTAACCTGAGTTAGGCTGGACTAGACCACTAGACCTTGCCTTTGACAAGGGATAAGCCAAAGCAGTGTGACTAAAAACCACCCCAAGGCCAACCTCCTGCAAAAGAGGGCTTGCCGTTGGATTAACCCCCACAAATCACCGAAGCTCTGCAACTCTATAGCCCACAGGTGTTCATATATAAACAAGCAGAGCCTGCAACTGCTCTGCTGCACAGGCACCTGCAGCCTCCAAACCCGGAGCTGTTCTGAAACCGTGGACACAGCTGGCGAGCAGCAGCGAAGCAGCAACGTGTGGCAGAATCTTGCCTTCTAAAGCATTTTTTCCCTGGGTACCCTGAGTAATAAGAGGGCCACAGTTTCACACACTGTGGCAAAGCTGGTTGAGGTTGATGATTTCAGGATCCTGCAGACTAGTTCCCTAGCTGGACATGCAAAAGGTTGGCATGAAATAGCCCAGAAATGTACATGCAACAGACTGACATCCCTGCACTGCAATCACTAGCGGAGCCACTGGACTTGCAGTAGAAAACGAAGTTCCTAACAGCTGGATGGGAAGAACGCTAGAGAAGAGACAGGTTAAAGAATCCTGAAAGGCTCTATGTGGTTTCAAATCTAAAACTAGTAGCTATCACCTTAAAAATAAACAAACAAAAAAAAGTAAAGCAGTGGAGAGATGATCATCTGCTACTTTCACAAGAAGCTCCTAAACCAGCAGCAAATCAAAACTGTACAAAATATTCTTCCCTCCTTTCCCCTGTGTCCCTCCATCTGCAGCAGTACAGGAGGAATGTTAGGAACATGTAAAACCAGATTAATAGTTTCGATGCAGTAAGAAACCCCTTTGCCCCACGCTGCTGCTCTGCGCTTGCTCCTTCTCACCTGAGAGAGGTTCTGCAGAGAGTTTCTGATGTCGTGCAGGACTCGGCGCAGCTGCATCTCCACGGTGGAGGGTGGATGGATGGCGTGAGGGCGGTGGGAATAGCCAGCGAGCCTGGGAGAGAAGGGGCAGCCGAAGGGCGAGAGCGCGGCGCCGAAGGAGGAGCCCGACAGGCTGGGGACGCTGTGGGTGCTCAGCGTCCTCATGTGCTCGCACAGCGGCCTGTCCTGCCACTCGGAGGGAAGCGAGTGGAGGGAACAGGCCGACTGGGACATGTGTGCAGGGATGTGCAGCGGGCAGCTCTGCACCCTGCCGTGAGCGGGCTCCTCGGGCAGCCTGCCGGGCCCGCCCTGGGACACTTCCCTCTTGGAGGACGAAGGAGCAATGAACAGGGTGGATTTGCACACAGGCTGACTGGCAGCTGGCTCATCCTCCGACCTGTCCTTCTCCGATGTCAGGTTCTCCTTATCCTCCACGGGGGTGTACTTGTAGGTAAAAGAAGGAGGACTGCACAGAGTCTCTTTTCCTGGAGCTAGCTGSACGTTCACAGAGGACACCACCTTCACTGGGTTCAGCAGGGCAGCTGGCAGGGACTGCGACCGCCTTAGCGGGTAGCCCGACTCGGCAAACCAGCACCTCTGCTTCCTGAGGAGGTCCTTTGATTTCAGCAGGGGGCGGCCTGCCCTGGAATCCGACGTGCCCACGATCTTCATCTGGGCCCTGTGCAGCGCCACGTGCACCCTGTCCACGGAGGAAGGCAACGAGTCACCAGCTTCAAGAGATTCTGCTGACTTGAGAATATGGTGTGTTTGGTACTCAGGAAATTCAAACGCGCTGCTTTTGTCAAGGTCGCTGTCATCGCTGCCTTCCTCCGGTAGCTCCAGCTCTTCCTGCTCACTGGAAACACCTTCCCCTTTGGAGCTGACTTCTGCTTGAACTGTCTCTGGTGTATGAGATGATTTGCTTTCTCCTTGCATTTGTTCAGTTTCAAAGTCAGAAACGCTTTTACTGTCTTTCCTTCTGTTCTCAGAAGGTGCCTCTACCTCTCGTCTCTCCATTTCAGAGAGAACATCCTCTTCYTCCTCATCATCCTCCTCATCTTCCTCTTCCTCCTCCTCTTCCTCCTCCTCAAACTTATTGAAAAAGAGCGGCTCCTTGGCTACGGGCGTCCTCTGCTCCTCGCTGTGCGACGTCACCGTGGTCTCGCTGTCACAGCTGTCCGCGCTGCTCCCCATGCCCTGCAAGGGCTCCTGAACCTGCCAACAACGAGAGCCCGTGAGCAGAGCCGAGACGCGACCGCTGCCTCCTGGGGAGCCCAGGAGCCCCGTTCACACCCCCGGGCACTGTGGTGGTATCAGAAAGAGCCACCCAGGAAAGGGAACGGGGAAACCAGAGCSGGTTGGGAAGGTCAGAAGCACACCAAGGCACGGGGGCTCCTCCTCCATCTAGGTTAGGTTCAGTTAGACTGAGCACTGAAAGCTTGGCCAGTGTTAGGCCACACAGACAGCGGAATGGGGAGAATCACTGATCCCAGTGAAACCGCTGGCCTGGGCAGTACTGGGGGAAACGGCCTCTTTTACACCAGAGAACCCCCCGAGACTGCAAATCTCACATGAGGCTGCTAATCTCTGCTAAAGACTGAAATTGTCTTAGAAATCTTTATTTTGGCTGCCAGAGATGAAGCAAAATAAGGCTCCACTTTTTCAGACATCTCCTGGATTTCCAAGGAATGTTTTGGCTGCAACAGTCAATTATTTAACAGTAGATGGCACTAATTTACCATACTTTTAAGAAAAAATATACATCCCCCCACACCCTTCATCATCTTTTCACAGGTTGTTTATCAGCTGCCAAGTTCTCATTTTCCCTAGTCTAATCACTCATCTGTATTTTCTAAATTCAGCTCTGTACTTAGTCTAAATAAAGCAGTTAAGGTGGCAGGAGAGAGCTGATCAGCTCCATGGCACGAATCTCACACACTCTTAAAACACCTACTCAAAAGAGAATAAAACAGAAAAATTATTGCTTTATGACCAACACAGATAATGAAACGTGGTTGCAGCCTGCTTAAACAGGTCTGGTTATCAATTGAAAAATCACCCGAAAGACCAGGAAGAGCTTCGCTCTAAGACTCCTTCTAACCTGCCCCTTAACTCCAGTGAAATGCTAGTTTAGAAGACAGTAAAACAGTTATCTAAAACCCCTCTGCTTATTTTAAAGACCATGGATTAAATGATGCTCATGATCCAAAGGAACTGGAAGAAAAATGAACACTGGATTTAAGACTGACTAAACATTTGTATACATTCACAGCAAAGTCAGCACAAAAAAGTCTTCCCATTGTCAGCTGCTGAAGTTGATTAAAACAATAGAAAAGATATGCAAAAAAGAAAAGAGTAGGAAGACAAAACAATAAACAAATGTAATCAACAGCAGAAAAGCCACATTCTTGAATTCTTCTTTCATCGTCTTCCTTATTCACTGGCGTTGAGAGGAATGGACTAGTTCTGGAGTCTTGGCCAACAGCAAAGGATACAACAAAAACCATGAACAGGGAACCGTGAATTTAAAGTTTACTCCAGATTCCAGCACATTCAGTTTATCCTACTAAGAGAGCTATAAATTTGTAGCCCAGATCTACAAGAGACTCAGCAGGTCAAATCTTGAGYGTGCAAAGTCTGCTGAGGATCTACACTGTCAGTCAGGATAGAGGCCAAACATCATCACGCCTCCTCCCCTCCCTTGCCTGCTCTGGACCATGGTCATTTGTGAGCACTTCAGGCTTACCTGCAGGTGGTTAAAGGAGAAGCAATCCGTGGAGGAGTCCTCCGCGAAGCCGCTGCTATCAGAGTGCTGGCTTGCAGTCCGTAACAACTGATCTATTTTAAAACAAAGTAAAACCCAGCTGTAATTAGTTTACAAATCCCAACCTTTTAAGCCCAATTACACTTAACACATGCCTTCCTCTTACATTGCAAATAGCAGATGTAGATAACATAATTCTTTCTCAAATTCACCATTGAACAATTCAGAAGAACTAGTTTGTTTCAAGCATATAAAGCACAAAAGCTTTCCTCAGGCAAAGCTCAGCTTGTGAAGTTTCCAGCCGCAGCGGAAAAGTCACCACCTTCCACATTTTTGTTTCTTGTGCTGTGGAAAAGAAACCCTATTCCACTGATTTTCCTTCCAGGGAACCGACCTCCTGGTAGGCTGGCCAAGCAGCAGCTGCTTTTGTCCTGCTGACCCGTGCCGACCTGCTGCACGTCCCCGCCGCAGGGATGTGGCACCAAAGCACTCGTGTCCTGGCAGCCTCCCTGCGCAGAGGGACAAACAACACGGGCAGAGGGCACAGGGCCCTCCTCAGAGCTCTGGGAGCAACGGGTCGGACCYGAGTGCCCCGGCTCGTGGGCAAACACAGCACGGGCACGTCAGCGGGCAGCCGGCCAAGRCGCACGGCCAACACTCGCTCCTCAGGTGGAGATAAGATCCTCCTGCTTGCCCCTCTTTGCTTGCATTAGATGAAGTGCTGGAGCAGCCCCGAGAGCCGTTTCCCCTGCGCGAGCGCCCCGCTCCGGGGCTGCTTTCCAAGAGATCCCCGGGGCTCTGCAGCCGCAGGACACTCGGCAGGCGCGGGGTTTACCCTGTGGCACCACAGCCGCTTTGCTTAGCCAGGAGGCAGCCTAGGGAGCAGCAACTGCTCTTCAGCACCTTCTTTTGGAAAAGCCTGGATGCGGGACGAGGCCACAGCGGGCTCAGCCTCCGCATCCCTGCCTCCTCCCGGCCCCAGAGCCTCTGCACTCAGGAGGCTTCCTGACGGATTTCGCCCCGCATTCCCGCGACCACAGAACTGTCATCATATAATTAATCCCAGTTCATAGCTCAATGCATTGGAATGCACTGTGAAAAGTGTTTTGAAGYTGCTGGATATTCAAAAACAATTTTTTTAACATTAATTTTGATGAACACTTCACTAAGGCAGGAATAAAAGCCTGCGTATGCCCAGAAGCTTGCAAATAACCAACTATAGGTTGGCTATTTACAGGGGAGTTAGCCAACTACCCTATAAAACTTCGGTACCAGCTACCACATAAAGCGTTTGGCGGGTGTCTTTCCATGGTGTTGCTGCTCCACTATTGCGGCAGCCACTAAACCCCGTGATAACAAACAACATTTTTCCTCCAGACAGGTATCTCCCCCCAGCCGCCACCAAAGGCAAAGGAAACAGCTTCACTTAAACTGGACAAGTTCCTATTAAGTGCCCAGTACCTCAGGGATGGTGCCAGGAGCAGGGCAGCACTGCTGCTGCTGGTGAGCCACCAGCTTCTCCACAATGAATAATCACGGATTTTGGCTTCCTCCCCGTCTCTTTCCCCATTCGATGGATGTTAGTTTAAAACCAAAAATCACCTTTCGTGAAAGCCTTAGCCACACGGGAGAGATTCCATATGGTGCAGTGAAAGCAAGTTAGCCATGTGTGTCCTGGCATCTGCTTTCACGAGCACCAAGTTTACTCTGCTCAAGAAAAACACTGACCTGCCCTTCTACTTCCTTCTCTGTCAATATTTCCTTCTCAGCCACAAACAAACAAAAATTCTCTCCTCAAATCAATTCTGGCTCTGCTGGGAGGCCATGCTAAAGTCAAAATCAGCATATTAGATCATTTTCCATAGGATTTCTTGCAGCAAGGCTGCACATGCCTTGACAGCCAAGTGGGCAGGTTAGGATGCATGCCGAAATTCTTGCAGAGCCTGAAGGAATGAGGCATCACAAGGCTGTCCAAGAGAGACATCCTTCTCACAGACATCTTTTTTGGGATTGCAAAGGTGCTAGAAATGTTTGGAAAGTTTGAAAATTAATCAGAGAAGACTTTTAAGCATTATAAATCTTTTTCTACCACAAATCTCCTTTGCCTCTTGCATGCTGTCCAGAGTGCTTCGCTATCTCACTGCCATGCAAACATAGCAAATACAACATAGCAAACATAGCAAAAAGGATCCCTGCTACTTTAGCAGTGAAATGGCTTCTGCTTGGCCAATGTATGACAGAGTTTAGCACTGTACCAAATAGAAATATTTGCTATTTCACTGGAATATGTTGGTATGTAATGGTATCCCACCCTCCTTGTCAGCTACTGATCCAGATATTCGACCCACTCCATGGCTCTTGGATGTCTCCAATTCAGGCAGCCGAGGGCAAAGCATTAAAAAACACAAATCATGCAACAATAAATTACAGTCAGATCTTGGTTAAAATGACTCCTGGCAAGAGAGTGTCTGAAGAGCAGCTTGTGATCAGATACAGCTCTGATCTTCATCTTGAACCCAGTACCAAGGGCTGGGCTGCAGAGGCTCAATTCAGCCCTTGCCTAAGGAGAAGGTGAGCGCTCCTCTCCAGGCAGGCTGATAGAGGCAGCTTCCTCCACACAAAGCCAAGGAATACAAGGGCAGGGCACCCCCTGCTCCGATCTCAGCAGCCTTACACTGCTGACGTACCCCACTTACAAGTACCCCACTAATGGGGTTATACCCACCAGAGAAAGGTCACTGTCCCATGAGGGCAACCGAGCAGCRCCGGCTGCCCCCACACCGTAAGGAAACCTCCTCATGGAGCAGGAGGCRGCCGGAGCCGCTGAAAGGGAATGTGTGGGAAAAGGAACCGGCCAACGTGAACCAAAACCAAAAACATATAAAAAGGAACAATCAAACGCACGTCCCAGTTGAACACAAAACAAAAACGTCCTTTGGATGATTGTTTTAGGCTCTATAAAACAAGAAAATATTTTTAGGTGCTGAACATGTGCCAGAGAAGCGTGGCTACTCAAAAACATACCAAGGAAGCTGACAAAGTTCTAAACAAGAATGGATGATGAAGAAACAAGCCTGTGCTTTATGAAACACAAGAGCACAGATTAAGCATTATCACACAACAGAATAAATATGTGTTGTCTGGTGCTCAATAATATTCAGCTACCCAGACCATTCCTGAACAGCCCCATCAAGTCCTCGCTTTAAATGCTCTGTGCCACTACTGCTGACTTTGGAAAGGAGCATAAGCCTACAGAAGCTGTCTGCACAGCTCTAGGAATATTTATGACCCCTGCAGCTGCGGTACTGGCAAAGCCCTGAGGCACTTTGTACTTAAAATTGTTAATAAATGGACATTTCCCGCTTGGCTGCAAAGCATCCCATCAGGAGATGAAAGGAACCGCTGCCCCTTTCCTGCCTCCGTCACCAGTGGGACCAAAAGCAGCTCCAGGGCTGGGAGACCCTCGGGTGCCTGGGGAGTTCCCAGCTTCGGCTCAGCTCAGCACGGGCTCCACCAAGGACAAACCCTCTTCCAAGTGCTCCTCTCGCTCCCACACCTCCCATCTTCCGTGCAGCTGCACCTAGAGAGAGCTACAAATGTGGAACTACAGTAAAGCACACGCATGCGCTCTTCCTTCCAAGGAGGGTACGGTCAAAATTAACTACTGTTTCTTCCTATCAGTGCGAGGCACCTTAGCAGAAACAACTTTGTGGCTACTCAAAATGTCACAAATCCACTGATGTTGGCACTCAGACACTTAAATATCCCAGTGCCTGGAGAAAGTTTGGTTCTCTCCGTGTTGTACCTGTATTTGTCCTGTTTGTCCTGCATTTTCRGAATGGAAGGTGCTGCTGTATAAACATGTCATGAAGAATTTGTTTTCTAACTAATTTCCCTCTAAATAACTTTGGATTTTTTTTTAATAGGGTTTTTTTTAAAAGGCAAATACAAAAGAGCTGCCTACACCCACAAAAATCATCTACCTTTGATGTTTGCAATAACAAAGGACAGAAATCCAGTTTTGGGCATAATGGGTAAAGCAGGTCAATACCATTTATAAGACAAAGAGTCCTAAAAAGTATCTTGAGCCAGTCAATATGATACAGAACTCTTTGCATCTCTTATGAAGAGTTTAATAAATAGAGACATTACAACAGAAAAACAGCAACTTGCAAACCATTTTCAAGCATCTTTTCCTTGAAAGACTTTAGCAGTGTCTTAATAGTCTCCAGACTATTTCAGTAGCRAAGAATTTTTTTATTCAAATACCTCACATCTTATTACAGACCCCCTTAAAAATGCCTTACAAACTGTTTTAAATGTCAAAGGAGGCATCCATAGCCCTTCCTGTAGAAATAAAAAGACATTCCAAGCTTTATAACAGTGAGTTATAAACTAAGAACAGCACTAACCCTTCTAACAGACCCAGAAATACCCTGACATGAAAAAAAGACAAATCTCCTGACATGAAAAAAAGACAAATCTGTCCCTGGCAGGGGGCACATTCACCTGGAACAAGCTCCGTTTGAGGGCACCGTAGTCACACAGGTGAAATCACACCATTATGAGAAGGCCAGCACTTGAATTGCACACCGACCCCATCTCAGAAGATCGCTGTTGAGCAAGCACCAGGGACCACAATTCCACATTCGGACTCAGTGGCCAGCATTTTCAAAGGATGCATTAACTTTGGGTGCCTTCAAGTTGGGAAGCAGTTGCTCACCGAGGAAACAGGCCTCCACATTGTCTCATGTTAGACATCTGGCAGAAAAACTAACTTGTGTTTTATAAAGTTACAAGTAAGCTYCCCACCAAATGCTTTCTTTTTTGGTGGTTTTACAGAAACCCATACACAACATCATAAAAGTTTCACATAATCCAGATTATAAGAAACTTGGTCCAGATTTGTCCAGATTAACTTTTACTGAAAGTGCAGCCCTATCATCAGCACTGAAATCCTTATCTAATAAGTCAGCTGAGCACTCCAGGCTGCATCGGCATGAAAGAAACTGTCTAATCACGTGAAGGGGGCTCAGAAACGCTGCGACTGACTAGGTGGGAAGTGCGAGTCCGCAGCCTGCCCTGCTCCTGCCCTCCCGAAAGCCGGTCCCAGAACTGCCTGCTGCCTTTCCACAGTAAGCACCGGGCCAAACAGTTACTCCTAACTATGTACAGAGTGCACCCCTATGTACAGGGTGCACCCTGAGACACTACAGCACTGCCCGCTGCCCCGGGGGCTTTAGCCYGGAGCAGGCGATTGCTTTAAAGCATGTAAGAAACTTTAACAAACAATCAAGTGGGAAATGCTGGGAACAGTCAGAGATGCCCTTTCCGACAGGCCCTCCTTCTGACCTATGTYCCAAACAGAGGAGCAGCAGGTCCAGCCCTTGTGTTCTACAAAATACTGCTGAATCTGTAAAACAAGCCACCCCTAACAACCAGGGTTAGACTGCAGAGCTTGCACCAGAGCATCCCCCAAAATCCCTAATGCCACTCAGCTGAGAGTTCACAAGATGGTCCATTTATGAACCAGCAAATAAATTACTTTCTCAGCTGTTACTTAAAAGAGGTCTCCCTTGCTGATGTTCCTTCTTGCAGAAACATGCCTGGCTCTTCACGCCGCGCCTGCTTTGAAGCTAAGCCTACAGCAAGCTCCAGTTCCTCTTTAATCACACATATATCAGCTGAAGAACAGACTTCTCTTGCCAACATAGGATAAAAAGCAGTAACTATCACAACATGAACTTAAACATCAGCCTTGCCCTTCTCCCAGGACACAGAAGATAAATAACTGTTTGAGATGAAAGCACAAACTAAACAGACTACAAAAGCCAGTGCACAGAGTTTGCCATTGGAAGGGCTACGACTTCCACGCAGGTACAGAGACACTGCTCCCTTTTGCAGCCAACACCATGTAGGAGGCCGCTGAACACATCACACAATTTAGGTTTAAAACATAATTTTAGTTTAAATGGGTATGCTAAATTACAGGAGCTGCTAGGGAAAAAAATCCCATATAACCTGAATTAACATTTCAGTTTTTCKGAGTTATCATCTATGGTACAAAAGTCAAAGCAGACACTGAGGTTAAAGAGCTGTCTTCCTGCCTGTAATTTGGGTGCCACTTTGCAACAATGTTCTCTGATTTTAGAAGTAACTGAAAGCAAACAGGTCTTTTTCCCCTTCTTCTAAGGAGAAAAGAAATTCTCGAGGTTTTAAATATCTGCACCATCATTTCAGAGCAGGAAGGACAGGCAGCAGAGTGTCCTGCTGTCTGCTCGGCACAGGAGGCTACTCACCCTTCCTTGACTTGGCCACTACCAGCTGGTGGGAAGCAGGAACGTGCGGTAGGTCTCCCTCTGTGCTCTGGATCTACAGAAAAGAAAGGATAAGTACGGTGAGACCAACTGGAACTCATCGCTGTGCTTCAGGATGCCTGAACTGCAATATACTGTACAACATCGCTGCAAGAAAATAGTCTTTATTAGACTAATACACCTCCCAAACACACACAAAAAGATCTCCTCTGATCACACACATTGCAAAAAAGACCTCTAACAATCCTGAGAATTCCCAGTTCCCCTTTGGAAAAAAAGCTCAAATAAGAGCATCAAAACATCGTCAGCCATCCTTACTCAAGTACTGCCCTTCCATTTGACATCCTTGGCTCCTTACTTGGGTAGAAAGAACAAGCAAAATACATTTAGAACAGGATATATGGAGATCAGCACATGGGAAGTGTCGTCTGCTGCTCTACCAGTTTTTTCCTCCAAAGCCTGTGAGGCCTCCTGAACAACTGAGATCCTGCCAGAACCTATTCCAGACTCCACTTTATTAATACTTGTGAAAACACTCCTTGCATTTTCCAGTTAAAAAAAAAAAAAAAAAAAAAAAAGGAAAATAGGGGGCCGATGATGTGTTCACAATCCCAAGAAGTCTTAAAATTACAATATATGGCAAATTAATACTGTTACTTAATCATTTTGTGAAACAAAGTCCTATTAAGAAAGCAGTTCTTGGACAACTGTTCAAACAATGAGAAGAATAAGCTCAAGATCTGAACAGGAARGCTTTTGTTTAGCTGGAAAGCTAGAACACATTTTCTCTTTTGTGCACTGGAAAGAAAAAAAAACCACCCTAATGGTCTGCACGCAAGCCTGCTCTTAAAAATAAAGTAAAAGAAACGCCCACCAACAAGCTGCCTGCTGAATTTCAAAGTTAAGCAACAGAAGCAATTCAAGCAATGCCTCTTTCATCTCCATTTGTGCCAAACTGAAAACACACAGCATGAGGATCCTGATGTTTAAAGCCTGAAGTCTGTGTGCAGCACCCACCAGGGTGCACGCTCTCAAGCGCACACTCCTGCAGAAGTCGGCAGCCCGAAGCTTTCGCTATTAGTGAAACTGAGATTATATATTGTATATATTAGACTCCTGTGTAACAAATGGGAGAGGCTCCTATTCCCATAGGGGAYGAAGGCTGCACCAAAAGGGCAAGTGGAAACAGTCCACTTCCACTCCATGGAAACAGTCTCCATGACTGTTTYGTGGAGATGCACGGGAAGCTCCCCAGCTAAGCTCACAAACCCCATCCCTCCCCTACAAGGCAGCAGCAAGAACAAGCAGTCTCACAGGCTCCTTGGCCACACTGGCCTCCCAGCAAAGACATCCCGATTCTCTCAAGCACRCCCGTCTCCAGCAGCTGGATCTGCAGCCTCCGGACAGCACAGCCCCTTCTCGCGCAGCACCGGGACGCGGCAGGCGGCTCCCGCGGCGGCCGCCCCTGCTCCCTGCTCCCGCCGCGGCCCTCGGCGGCGCCAGGGGCCCTCCCGGYGCAGCTGCCTCCGGCACGGCCTATCTCGGCGGCCCACGCTTCCGACGGGCCGGGCGCTCCGGCTGCCCGGAGGGCACCGCCGCGCTCCCAAGCGAGCCGGCAGCGCCCGGGGCCGCGCCGCTGCKCCCAGCGCAGCTCATTGTTCTCCAGACCCCGCTGAGAGACACGCGGGGAGGGCAGAAAGAAAATGAAGAGGAAACAAGCGTGGAGCTGCCAGGTATTGTTCTGGAGCTGCTCTACCAAAAGCGGGTCCCTCCCGCCGAGCAGCGGATACGTATACACAGCACTGCATAAACCWGGGCCCAGCACAACCCCATCCCACACGGCATGTGGGCCGGCCAGACCAGCTGTGTTTAYGCCCTGGCACCACTGCAAAGTATGTCAACCAAAACCTCGCAAACGCAGCGCCTTCAGCTTGGACAAGGGCTTTGTTAAGTCTTCTTCATGTCATAACCCTTTGCAGACCGACCTACTCGGGCAACTCCAGGCAGCTGCCTGGCTTTTGTTTGCTTCGCTTTGAGCAAGAGTGCCAAAAACACAGGAAACACTTCTCATCTGGAATGTGTGAAAGCAGCCTAAGCATCAAGAACGTAGCAGAAGGCATCTCCATGCAGACCCCTCACAAACATCTGCATAGCTGCACGAAAAAACGAATCAAGAAAATAATCCAGCTGAAAATTACACCAGGAAAAATAAATAACCCCATGGGTATCTTTTTCCCCTCCCTCAGCTGGACCTTATCCTGGTTCAGTTGACAGCCACACAAGAGGTCCGTGATGGCATAGACAAATGGCAGGATTTGCAAGGGGCTAAATCTGCTAAAAACATCGCAAACCAAAGCCAGCCTTTGCTGGTTGCTCTAAGAGTCTGGGAGTTTTCTCTTATTTTCTTCACTCACTTCCAAAATGAGATTGCAATCCTTCATTTTACATAATTATTTCACACAGATAACCGATCGGCAGCTAAGTTTTGCAACAGCAGCCACTTAGAAATGTGCCCACAAAAACATCTGCTGACTCGAGACAGATCTTGTAATTGAAAGTGTGAGTCTGTGTAGAAAATTGCATTCCCGAATCCGTAGGCTGCACATTTACTAGCCTAATAAACAAATTATAGGAATCTGGGAATTAAAATCCCTTTGGGACTATTATCAATGAGACAAATTGGCTAAAAGCATTTATGAAGATGGCAACAGGCAGTTAACAAACTGTAACTAAGCCACAGCAAAAAGGCAAGGGAACAGTGACTTCTGGTGAACATGCTATTTTCTAGAGAATAAAAGAGACAACATACAGTGGGTTGTCAATAAAGCCAAACTCATTTCAGGTGGGAACTCTACCCTACATTATAGCCCTTAGCTCTTTAATGCAAAAGGTACTTGTCCCACCCATAAAATTATCCTTAACCAGAGTATTTGAAGTATTCCTGGAGAAAACACCATCAAATACATAGGAGGGAACATTCCTCCCCTGGCAACCATCAAGTTATGTAAACTGTATGCAAAAACAAAGCCATTTATTTCCACCTACCTCTTCCATCTCAAAGGAGTCCTTCTGCGGCAGCATGAGATTCATTATGGATGGATTGGCTATGGGAGCACAGGGCTCTTTGCCTGGCGATGTCGTGGGAGGTCTTTGCACCTGAGTGCTACTTTCAGACTCACTAGAGGCGCTGGAATCGCTGCTGAGGTTGGGAGAGTCCAAAAGAGGAGATTCCTCACACGGGCTGTGCTGGGAGCTTGCCTGCTTGCTGTATGGCACAGCRCTCTCCTGCACATCATCAGCTCCAGCAGGAAGCTCCGCAGGTTTGTGCACGTCCGCAGTATTTGTCTGATTAGCAGCCATCTCCTCCCTGACAGTAGCCAACAAAGAGGGCGAGTCTTTCTTTTTGGAGTGTTTTGGCAATTTAGGATCGTTTTTAGCATCGTTTTCCTCACCGCCGGGCTCTGCGGGGCCCTTCCCTTTGTCGACGGGCGACGGCGTCGAGGCGCCGCCCCCGTCGGGCTGCTGAGCGCCGCACAGGTTGAGCTTGGACAGCGTCTTCATCAGGCGGCTGGCTGTGTTGCTGCGGGTCAGGGGCGGAGGGCTGGGCGCCTCCTTGCTGGAGGACACCGAGTTCATGCTGCCGATTTTCTGCAGCGGAGTCCCGGAGACTTGAGAGTATAAAGAGGAAAAGGCGTTGGCCACAGTAGTAAGCACTTCAATCTGGCGAAAGCGACCTGTGCAGAGGGCAGAGTTTGTGAGAACATCTGGTGTCACATTGCTGAACAGCTGACCCTGCTCTCTGTGACAGTTCATAGGCAGCTCTCATCTTCACATTTAAGACACAATTTGCTTCATAAACTGTCCCTCATCCCACCCCAAACCTCCTTCTTCTATGAAGGTTCCCCAAGATTGAGCACTGCCTAGTCCTGTAACCTGCAAGAAATACAATAATGCATTAAGGAATAGAAAAACCTCAGCAAGGGCTCTTGATAAACATACGGAGAGCAGCCAGGAAGCTTTCACAAAAATAAGTGAAGGGCACAGATAGGCAACTTCACATTAATTTACACAGTGCTAGCAAGAACGAGAAAAGAGATCATTTATATCGATTGCTCTTTCCATCTTCAGCTATGACAGGACATTTCAGCTATCCCTGCATTTCAGAAACATTCATTACCAACCGCAGGAAGCTCCCAGCAAAGTCAAGGGAGATACTGGCACAGATTTAAACAACTAAAGAAATTAGGTCAGTGGTGAGAGCTTTCAAAAATCCCGCCTGATACTGAGGAACACATCAAAAAGCCAGGTACTGCTATCTGCTTTAAAGCTACAGCCGCAGACAAGCTTAGAAGCAGGAGAGGGGAGTGATACACCAGAGAAGGCATCAGGTCTGACAAGATGCCTTTCATTTCCCTCCCATAAATTCCTTTCCACCATCCCCAGCTGTACAACACTAATGGTCACCTCTTGCCATAACTGGATTTTGAATGGAATTTTGCCTATAGACTGTAAAGGTATTTTTGCCAGGACACCAGATACAGTGTCTCTTTTGAGGTTGTTTATATACTTAAGAAATAAAAATAAATACATCTCACTTCAAAAACACACTTACTTGTTAAAGCAAAGTTTGGATTTTCCACTTCCATGCGCTGCATTTGGGCATTCAAAAACACTTTGATGTCTATTCCTCTAGCAAATGATGATGAATTAAAAAATCTTGCTGGAATTTTTGAGGCAATATCTGGTTCATCTCTTCCAAACCCAAGGTTATAGAGCACTTCTTCTGGGTCTTCCTCGTAAAGCTCCAGTAATTCAGAAACACTAAAATGAAAAGATGTTTACCATCCACTTATCTTCTTTTAGGACATGGTCCCTTCTGCCAATTGCTAATTCAGCTCACTAGCCAGCTTTGCCTATTGAACTTTTGACTCCTACAACTCTGTTGATTTTAGGAAATAATTTTGGAGATATCTACATCTGAAATGTTAGTTCRTGTCACCACAGACATCAGCCCAGCTGCACTTCCAGTCAGATCCAGTTTTTTTTTTTTATTTAAAGCAGATGACCTTATTCTGCAGATCATCATTACTAAAACGGCATTAAAATTTCAGACCTTTCTAAGGCCWAGGCCCATTTATATGTATTTACTGCAAAACAAAACTGAAAACAAGTAACACTTTTTCAAGCAACCAACTGAAAAGTCCCTTCTCGGCTACTAAACACAACAAAGCACATAAATCAAGCCAAGTCTATTTAACTTAGGAACAGAAGAAGTTTTGCCAGCAAAGCAGTGCCAAATTCCTCTGAACTGCGCCACGACCTTCAAAGCACAGTTCTCTCTTACCTTGAAACGGTTGCACTGCTTTTTCCAGACCCCGTGGAGTTCATACTTCTCCCCTTCTGGTGAAACTGCAGTCTCCTCTCCTTCGCCAACATACCATTGCTGCCAAGGCAAGCGGAGAAGAGCACTGTGATAAACGGGTTTCTCTCAGCAACCCAAGCCCCGCTCCCCTCCGGGAGAGAACGGAGTCTCCAACCCCGCYGAATTCCTCGCCTCCCATTCAACGCTATCTGGTTTATATTAGCCATGTCCTTTACTGAAATGGAGCAACAAAAGCACACCCGGGGACGCCTCAGTTTAAAAATTTGTATATTCTTAAGAAACGGGAGGCAAATGCTGGGCAAGCAGCCCCCGGCCTTGCCAGGTCCGTGCCTGCCGGCCAGCTCCCAGCCGCCCGCGACGAGGAGGCCCAGCCTCGGGCACGGCCTCCTTCCCGGCCTGCCCGGCACCCAGGACGTCCCAACAGTCTCTTTCCCAATCCCAAACTCTTTCCTCCTTCAGTCTCTGGAAACTGCCTCCCCACCACTGTGCGCTCCGTTCTCGAACGTACCATTAATGACAACCTCTTCTCGGGACAGAATTTTACTGTATAAATCCTAATACTGTATAAAATTCCCATGGGAATTTTACTGTATAAATCCTAACCTGAAGAGCAGAAGAGACACTAAGAAATACAGATTCCCTTAAAAACCTGTTCTATAGAGTTTCTCTCAGGAAGAACAGCAAAGGAGCTCTCTATAAAGCAGAAATCTCTTTTTCTTCCTCTCCCAAATTTCTCTTCCCTGCTTTGAAAGGTAAAACAACCGTTCCCTTGAAATTCCTGAAATGGCCAGGGACCAGTAAGCCAAAGAAAGAATTTAAATCACGCTATATTACTTTGAACATGTGTGCCTTTCTCTCTGCTCAGAAGCTACAACAGGTCTGCCAGAAGAATAAAAATCTGCCTTTCAGAGTGGCTGCTCTTGTGCTACTTGTAACTTCTCTTTTTCTCACAAAAACTCACCTGAATGAAAGAGGAGCCGTAGTCCTGAGGCAGCCTCCGCTACCTGCACTGTGCCCTTTCCCTCCCTCACTCCAGCAGGAATATTACTCCAAGCAAACAGAAAGATGCTTACCATGCTTCCATCGGGGTGTCGCTCCGTAGGTGATTAGCTGTACAGAAAGAAGAGCAAGTTACAGATGGAGCTCCTCAACATTACACTGCTCATAACCAAAATGAAAAAGCACTTTTCTGAACACTGCCATATGAAACAGGTTTTTTCTTTCCAGACAGCAAGACTGTCAAGAGTTTCTAGTATACGTCCAAAATAAAATCTCACACAGACATAAGTTTGTATTCTATAATTAATCACACTAACTTGAAGTTTTACATGCCGTAAGTTAGTGATTGTTACTCAGAGAGACAATTTAGTTTTTGCAATTTAAGGTATGTTTTCCAGCCAAAGGATTCTTCCATAGAAAGGAAGGGGGAGGAAGCAGAGAACACATGCAGACAGTTCAACTAGGAGAAGAAAAAAAACCCTAAGAGATGAACCTGGCTCCCACGGCCAGGCACTGAGACTATTTTGTTCAGCCCTTATATAAGRAGTGCCAGTTTTCAGCCTGGGGGCAGGCCCAATGCCTTTCAGCTTTCTAAGCAGAGGCTGCACACAGACACCAGGTCACAGTTGGGTGTAGGGAGCGCAGCGTTTCCCYGAGGCTGAAACCTCGGCTCCACACGGGAGCATCCCAGGCAGCGTGGCTCTTTCAGAAAATCCACATCCCACCAAACCAGGCAGCTGAGCCTGTCCTTTAATTACCAGCTCCCTAAAGCAGCGACTCATCACTAACAAACCAACCACAGGAGAGAGGCAAGGAGAGCGTGCTACACCTGTGCACAGCCCATACCTGGTTTGGAGGGGTCCTGCCAGGAAAACCTGGCACCTGTGAACCAGCCGTGCCACGCAGCAGCGACAGAGAGCAAACCTGCAAAGCTCAGCCCTTGTTGCTCCTCGTGCAGAGACATGGCTACGAAACTCGGCTGCCCGCACGCAGAACCCTCAGCGCGGAGCCCAGCGCTCCCTCTTCTCTGGCTGCTGGCTGGTTTTGCCGGCTAAAGCGCAGGCGCCCGCGGTGCAGCGGTGTCCCACGCTGCCGAGGAAGCTCCGTGTGAGCAAAAGGAGGTCGGGCTGCAGCGCAGGCAGCTCCATGGCCCGTGATCCCTGCGGCTCCGGGGCGCCCGCGGCTTCGTGCACGGAGCCCTTTGTGCTTTCRCACCAGAAAACGCTGGTATTAACACCAAAAAGGAAGGAGGTGACTTTCTACCTCAAAACTAGAAACGCCTGATAATGATGGCAGAGGCAAAAAATCTGAGATGAATTAAAGGTGTGGGGGGTACATGATTCATTAAACAGTACCTGCTCTTTTATTCTTGGTTATATGCTCAGAGCTTGGATTATTTTAACACTGAACTTCTATGAAACCTTTATACTGCAGGCAACCCAACAAGTAGAAAAGACTATCAGAAAGCAAATTTAATCCTATTTACTGTATTGCAGTAAGGGATTAATTTACTGCTTCTCCATCATTACCAGATCAAGGGCTTTATCAGATCAACTGCTTTCCTCACAGTTCTACAGCCTTTAAAAATTGAAGTTATTTCCCACCCTTAAGCCCCGTGCCATTAGTTTGGCAACACTGGCAAGACTTCTAGGGGAAGAGAGACTTCTCACTATACAAGTTCTGATCTTCTTCAGGAGCTAAAGTTCAAAACAAAAATTTAATTTAAATCAAAAAAAAAAAAAAAAAAAGAATAGTAAAAGACTTAAAGAAAGTCCAAGAACAGCCACATCCTCATCCTCTTAGAGAAAGGGAGGGGAAAGAAAAAGAAAGAAGCAGAGGTAGCTACTGACAGCAAAACTGTCAGTACATATAATAAGGCTGATCCAAAAAAATACTTACTCAGCTTTGGATTTTTTTCACTTTTAAAAGCACTTAGTCGTTAATGGGTTTGCCTCCTGGTTGATACACCCCCCGTCCCGCGTGTGCCACTCCCCTGGGGTTCAATGGAAGGGAGGCCCAGAGTAACCCAGGCACAAGAAGAACAAGCAGCAAGAGGAAAATAAAAAGCTTTCTCACAGCTTCAGTGAGTGTCATGGGCATTAAAAATGAGCAGACGGAACAGACTTCAGGGCTGACTTCGATCCTCAGATTAGATCAGAATATTTAACAAAATCAATATTTCAATAAACCCAAGAAGCAGAACTTGAGCACTTTTGTTAGTGCTCCAAGCTGTTCTTATAGCTAGCTTTACCAACTACCTTTGACCAAAAGGGAAATAATATCTTTCACAATAAAGATCAGATGACTGAATATAGTTTTTTTGCTAGAAAGAGTCATAATCCTACCACACCCACCTTCGGCTCCCAAGGATAAGTCATCTTCAAAACTTCCTCCATTCCTCACCAGCATGCCTGCAAAAGCACAGTTAGCAGCTCAACAACGAGAACCTTGCAGCACCTTCTGCCCAGCAGCTCCAGTAAAGATACCAACAAGATGCTGCCAGTTCATACAACAAGAACCAGCTAGACCATATTTATAAATCCTGTATCCATACTGCAAAGTTACATTTGATACCACAGAAATTTCATGTGCAAGAGAACAAATAAGATACTGCTTTAGTTTCCTGCTCAGCAACTCCCAGGTCAAACTACGAGCAAATTCACTCTAAGTGCAAACCTRGAGGTACTACCCAAACTACCTACAGCTGCTGTTACAATACACTTTATATATCTTACCAGGGAGTTTCAGAGTTAAAAAATGAGTTTAGATCAGCCAGTTTCTTCTCTCCCCCTACATCAGCGTGAGACTTCAAGCAAAGACTCCAGACACAGCAAGTAATTTCTCTGTGCTGTGTCACTACCTGCTAACTCTTGCTGTACTTTGAACTTTAGTATTCAGTCCTGCTCAGATAGTAAAATTTTCAGGTGTGGCAACCCGAGTTATTAGACAGAGACTACCTAGCTCACCTAAGTCAGAACCAAAGCTCCCCTTTCTGCTCATTTGGGAGCTTTCAAAAGGCTCACTGAACTCCAGGAACTTCTTCAGTATCCGTCTGCTCTTCCCAGTTTCTCCGGCACCGCCGCTTTGCTGTGATATCAGCTCACGGGTGCCCATGAGGCTGCGGCTGCTCGTGCCACTGATAAGGACCTGAAGCCGCAGGTGAACGGACACRAAAGCACAACCTCAACAACAGAAAAAGCTCCAGCAGGCAGAGCCTTGGCTTACCCTTCAGCAGAGGATTGCTTTGCTCATCCAGGGAGGCTCCCAGAGGCGTTCTGAAACCACACAAGAGATTAATACTGGTTTAAAAACTTGCTGCTTCATGTCCTTCCTCACAGCGTGCAAGAGGCTTGTGATAGCAGCAGTTGTCCCTCCCTCCGCCCCCAGAAAGCGCAAACATATGAGCGCTGGCAACGACTTCCTAAACAATCCCCAGCCCTCTGAGCAAACACACTCCGTGGGGGAAAAGAAAAACAACAAAACAGGTTAATGACCGAACTGCTGCGACACGAGCCACTGGCAGAACCTCTGCTGGGGAGAACATGGACCTCGGAGCAAACCACCTCGAGGAACGAGTGTGGAGCGCTGGAATGGGTTAGTTCCACCTCCTCCCTATGCCAGGAGCTGCCACCATTTTTCCAAATTTAAAACTTACWGGCATCAAGTTACCTGAGGCTTTGGAGAGCAGGGACAGAAAGCTGTATTTGCTGATCAGAAGCAAGATAAGAATCTCTAGAGCTCTGTTCGCTATCGCTTGCTGGTTCTGGCATTTTATAGATTCTTTACTTTAGCTCATATTTGCATGATTTCTCTCGGTCTTATTCCTCGAGAGGCAGTGGATTTGCTGAATCTCCCTGTGTCTGAAACCAGCAGCAGAAACCGCACTGGTGACAGGCCCAATCCCTTTGGGTGTCCGCCCGAATCTGTTGACATTAACCGAGTACCTCTGCCGCTMGTCCCTCAGAGACCTGCTTAACCAAGGATCTGTCACCATCAAGTAGTGCAGCGTAGCTTTCAAAGCCCAGAATAAATTCAGGAATAAAATACTCAAAGAAGCGGAAAGCAGATGATTCATGTGCCTATATTATGTATGTTTCACTTAGGGTTTTAATTAGACAAACATATAAACCTGTCCAAAGAACTCCTTAAAGTAAATACTGCTCTATTTACAGTATCTGTTTTGATGCCACAGCCAAAATTAAGCAACAAGAGTYTGCATTTGCTGCTTTGGAACAGGCCTTATATTTTTCTTTTTTCCTCTGAAAACAGCCCACTGTTACCATTGCCTATGACATGCAACACACTAGCCTGGACAACAGCTCCACTARAATACGTGTCATAGTGAGATGGCACTTGTAAGGGCAAGAGCATCCAGGCAGGTAAACAGGCTCCCTGCAATTGGGAACAACCTTTGGAGAGCCTCAGATCCGCTGGAGTTCTGTGCTCCTCTCAATTAAGGGTTTTAAACAAGTTAGGATATATTGTCCAAACCCTTCATGCTACAACAAGCCTCAGCTTCTGAGGCAGTAGCTCTGCCTGCAGTTTCCTCGCTGGCTTCGATGGGCCCCTTCCTCCTCTTCCCCCTTCCCGTGCCCAGTGCCATTTCCCTCCCTTTTCTGCGGCAGCAACTTGCTGGCAGGGACTCCAGCAGCCGCGTCCTGTAGCGGCTGGCGATGAGCAGCACCGGCAACCACGGAAGCTGGCATTTTCCCTTGGAAAGCAGGTCTGTCACCTCCACTGCAAGYGCAGAAAAGCAGCTCTCTCAACTCTCCATCTGCTTCTGCACCCGTAAGCAACTGCCTGGCACTCCTGTCTGCTGCAACACTCACATGCAAGTACTAGAGAGCTTGCAGGGAAGCAAAGCAGGGAAGAAAAACCTGCGCAAAGACACAAACTCTTGGACAAGAGCATGCAAGGGTTCTACCTTTCTGCATAAGTATTGTTCAACACCAAGGCCCCAAGGCAGCGTATGCAGGCACCTCGCGCACGATCCGGACACCTCTCCGCTCCATGCAGCGCCCAAGGGAAGAGCCAGGGCTGCTGGAAGCTGCTGCCCCAGCTCCCACAGCACGTTCCCYGGCACATCCGACGTCCCGCGTGAAGCTGCTTGGGCAAAACAGAGCAGGGAGGCCCAGGGTCCAGCTCTGCAACGTGCACGGCCTGCCCTGCACCCAGAAACCCTGCAGTTCTCACTTGCCCCCTCACACAGACAATTCATTTATTTGCTACTCTATTTTCACACACGTGGTAATAACCACCCCCCAATACGAGCGTTTGGGAGGACGGGTCACGGGGCAGCCCTGAGGACGCCCCTTGTCCCGAGCTCTGCCCGCTCGGCCAGCGGGAGCCTCGGGAGCAGCACGAGGGCTTCGCGCTGGGCTCCAAAAGCAGCTGAAAACCTCAGCTCTGAAAGCTCGAGCCGGGCAGGAGAAATGTTTATTTTAAACTTGGAAAAAAAAAAAAATCCTCTTTCTGAGGCATTTCAAGAACTCATTTCCTGCACGTTCTACAGGAGATAGTTCCTAAAGGCCTCCAACAATCCCTGATACTGGGAGCGTTCAAACGTCCCAAATTAAAATAGTAAGTGCCACCCCGGAACTGATGAGGAAAAAATGCTTTTTCTGTCCATACGATATGGACGCTTTTGTTTCCCGTGCCAGCCTTCTAGAAGTTAAAACTAAAAGTTTCCGCAGGCTTTCCTAGCACTTCAARCAGCTTTTTAAAATACTGGGGAGAGAGAAAGAAATGCCTTTCTCAAAAGGATGGGATTCCCGAAAGACAAATGAAGCAGAAGCTTTGGGCAACATCAGACATTTCCTAACCCTCTATAATTATCACTAGTGTGCAGCAACTTGCTTTCTGTTGCCCCCCTTTTTCTTTCTAAACAYAACTCTACCAAATTAAATAGTGAGGGGTGTTAGGAACTCCCCTTCCTCCTGCAAAACAGCTGTGAAAGGGAGAAGCCAAAAAATTACAGCCCCAACCTGCTAAYGTGAACGTCAGGGGACAACCAGTAATTCTTTTTCTTCCAAATTATAGCACTGTCGATGCTTTTGGAAACAAAGAAATAAGCCTTATAATCAGACCTGTTACACAGCGAGTTAACGCTAATTTCTGCTCTACTTCCCACTCAAAACAGAAAATGAGATTTAAAGCATGCAAATTTTCTTCCAAGGTACATTTCACAAAAGCTTATGTAAATCAGACAAAATGGGAATAATCCTTTTTTAGAAAATCTCTAGTAGATAAAATGCTTAATTTTAGCAGCCGAGCAGCCCTTTGTGGCCATGGTTCTGCAGCACAGGGAACTCACAAGGATCTGCTTGGTGCAACGGACCAGAACCAGAAGACCGAGCCTGCACATGTTGCAATCAAAACTCCCCACCAAAAAAACACAGGATTATTAAAGAAATAATAATTCTCTCAGGGAAAAGAGCAGTTTTAGATTTCACAGGGACTGCTCTTTTTAACTGATATATTTTAAGCAGTGCAACAGGACGTGCTTGGGATGGTGCTGACATCTTTTCCTCTTTCCCTGCACACGCCGTTAGCACKAGACAGCTCTGCGTGGTCATTCTGCTTCACAGTCACTTCACAGCAGGGCAAGCTGAATAAGCACTTCACATACCAGCAACTGCTCATACGTATACTTACATMAAAACATACAAATTCAACTGCTTTGCAGTTTTAAAGCACGAGGGACTGCACTCCTTTGAGCAGCCGAGATCCTTCCTCCCACGGGTATCCGGGTACTCTGTATGTTAGGGAGTCGGGGGCTAATTCAAGTTGGGATTGCACATCGCTGCCAGCCAGCCCAGGGCAGAGCACCACAACATAGAACACTGCATTGTATCTTTTTCCCCTTGGGGTCCTCAAAGCTACATACCACTACGTAAAATTTAGGATTAAAAAGTAGTAAATTTCATCCTTCTTAGCAGRATAGAAGATTCTTCTAAAAACTTATAGGAGTGCTGCTATACTGTACTAAAGGTCTTCTGTGGAAGCACCAGAAAGGGTTTTATATCCTTTAGCTAAAGCTTGCATCTCCCTAYTAGCAGAATGACAACTAATGTTTTATTTCCTTACTTGCGAAATAAAGGAATCTTATTTTACAGTCCATTTCCCTATTTTGTCAGTCAACTGCAAACACATTCCACAGAGCTGCTCAGTGTCAGATTTAACAGCACATTTGCCACTGTAAGGCATGAATAAAATGGCAAACATGGGATTATTATTTAAGATTCGTGTCCATGCGCTGTCCCTCTGCCCTTGCCGYCCTTCAGCTCTGACCAGAGCGGCGAGGACGGCAGGGCCTGGGAACAAAAACGCTGCGGAGCGGAGGAGCAGTGCAGCAGACGAGGAGGAATCTCCCTCTCTCCGGGGGCTCTTCCCTTTCTCTCTCTCTTTTTTTTTTTGGTCCCCATTCAGGAATAAAAAAAATAAATAAAAAATAAAAATAAAAACAATCTCATAAATCACCAGCTCTACAAGCCTTACATTTCAGGCCGTGCTTTGCCAGACTACGGGCACACGAGGCTTCCCGCAGGTTTGCGAGGCACCCGCGCTGGCGCTCTGCTCCGCTCCGCTCCGCGGGACGCCCGGGCTGCCGGGGCCGCCGCTGCGCCGGTGCCCGCGGGGCTCGGCCGGGCCGGGCCGGGCAGCGGCGCCGCTCGCTCTGCCGCCTCCTGCCCCGAGGGCGAGCGGGGCTCGGGGCGGGAAGGCAGCTCCGGGCTGGGAATTTCGCCGCTGGAAGGCGGGCTGCTCGCTGCCTGCCCGGGGCGGCACGGGAGCGCAGCGGCCGCGGCTGCTTTTATAGCAACGAGCATGGGGAAGCGGCGCGTGCGGCGCACGCATCCCGCATCCCATCCCACATCCCGTCCCGTCCCGCTCCCTGCGGCGGCTCCGGACGGGGCTCCCGTCCATCCCGCCCACCCCGGGCGGCCGCGCTCACCTGCAGTCCTGGAGCCATGTGGCGATCTTCTCGTTGGGGACGCCGGGCCCTGCGGGGGGAGAGCGGCCGAGAGGCGCGTGAGCGGCGGCCCGGGGCGCCGGCGGCGAGGGCAGCCCCGCGGCCCCC